AAACACATGAAAACAATAAAATTAACGTTGGTCCACCTGTCATTCTACAAGCACATTTTCTTAATGCTTAAGAGAAGCATTTGAGCCATGTGTGCAAAAACTATTGCCTTTTTTAAAATGGCCTAGTGGCTTCTTGGTATAAGACAGTCACCCAAACATGCAACTCTCTCTGTTTGTTCCAAATTCATCAGGGTCTTGTTTTCAGTTAACTAAAGATCCTTTGATTAATCAATTAATCACAGCAGTCCTAGTCTTAATTCATCTTGCTTATATAGGATAGATCTCCCATCTGCTCCAGAATGCCGAAAGAGAGAGCCGTCCACAAACATCGATCCCCCACCCAAATGTGCCCTTTGTGATGTTATGTTTTACATGAAAGATCTCACTCTACCTTAAAAGAAAATAAGCTGGGCTAGGTGCCAAACATTTTCGGGATTCTTAAAGATCCTTTAAAGATTCTTAAAGTTGCAGGCTCTCACTACAGAGACCGCTCAAGAACAGCATGCCAAATTTAATTTTGATGAATTCCCTTGAGAAAAACAAGGGCGATCTGGATGAAACGCTAAGCGATGCACTTCACAGGGACACCAGGCAATGCGCACAATAGGGTGGGCCAAGCTCCAGGCATTCATAGCGATGAAGCCCTCATTCTCCAAATGGAGAACAGATGTTCGCATTTCACTGGGAAGTGTGGCTGTGGCAGCCTATCTAATCCAAAGTGACAATCATTTGCTCGCACTGATCTCGTGGCCTGCACAATGGGAATGGCAGTAACACGAATTAGGTGCTAATGGAACCCAATCCTGAAGCATCAGAGCTGACGGAGCAGCATCTGCAGGCTGGGAAGAAAAATAAGCCATCGTTTATCCACGGAAGTACATGCTAAGGATCAAGCCCTAGACAAGCACACGAATTAGGTGCTAATGGAACCCAATCCTGAAGCATCAGAGCTGACGGAGCAGCATCTACAGGCTGGGAAGAAAAATAAGCCATCGTTTATCCACGGAAGTACATGCTAAGGATCAAGCCCTAGACAAGCGGGGAAGTGGTGCTGTCTTAGCCAGACTGTGGAGGGTGGAGACGAAATGCCTGAGTCCATCC